AAATGAAATATTGCAAATGCTCTTTAATCCTTGATTCGATATCAATAAAGCCTCAAATAACGTATAATAGGAAAATTGGTAGGTTTTTTAAAATATATTTTGTTTGTAAAATTGTGAGTTTAAAATATAGCATATTTTAGTAGTTTGCTAGTTTATTCCTTGTATATTTTATTTATTTCTTGATTTTTTTTTGTTTCCCATTTCACCATTGTCTTCAATTTTTTTAATTTTATTGATGTTAAATGTTAAGCATAAATTATCAAACGCATTGTTTATTTGTGAAGATGACTATTGGATATGTTAACTATGGAGATGGGAATGAGGACATAGTTGCTTCAGAGATGTTGGTTTTTTATGTTGTTGGTCTGAGAGAAGCTTGGAGGCATTCAAAAGCTTATTTTTATACAAATAAATTATCATCTCACAAGTTGAAAGATTTTATAGAGAAAGCCATTGATAAGTTACATAATGCTGGAGTTAGGGTAAACAACATTTGTTTTTCTTAAAGATATGTTAAAATTTTTATACATTATATTTATATTTTACGGTTGTTTCACTGGTAATGGATGGGTTGGCCACTAACGTTTCGGCATGTGGATTGCTTGGATGCTCTTTCACATTTTCAAACATGCAAACAAGTTTCTTGTCCCCAACAACCGGCCAGAAAATATATATCATATTTGATGCATGCCACATGCTGAAATTAATAAGGAATATGTTTCATTCTTATGATATTTTATAATAATTATCCAATCAAATGGAATCATATCGTAAACTTAGTTAATTATCAGCAACAAATCAAAATGAAACTAAAAAATAAATTAACCAAAAATCCTGTAAATTTTGAAAAGCATAAGATGAAAGTTAAATATGCATCTCGAGTCTTTAGTTGCTCTGCGGCTAAATCACTGGAACTCTTAAACGGATTTTATGTTTTTTTCTGACGTTTCTGAAACAATAGCTTTTGTGAAAAACATCAATGATCTTTTCCATATATTGAACAGCAAACTGATACTAGATAGAAAATGGAAGCAATCCATTACAAAGAGCAACCTGACAGCCACTATAGAAATGAAAGCCTACTTACTAAGTTTGAAAAATTTAGATGGTGTTAATGGTGTAGATGGTTTAAATTTACAAAACTCAAAGGTTTTTTTTATATATCTCAATATCTAAACTAAAACTTATTTAAAAATAATTTCAGAAAAATGTGCATAATTGGCTTGGAAAATTGACATATCCCTCAAAAGGAGTATTAAAAGTAAAATGATTCATTTATTTATTTTCTGGTAAAAACAATAAATTTTAATGATTTTCAGATCTGCCAAGAATCAGAAAGATTATTAAAAATAAATAATTATTGTTTTAAGAAAAAACTTGTAATTGAAAGCAACATACTCCCACAATGTGTCAACGAAGATTTATTTAACATGGAAAATCATTTCAATGATGTACAGAATGCAAACCACTATTATGAATTAATAAAAAAAATAATAACATCATGTACAACATTAAGACGTTTTAACTTAACTAAAGAGTTTTCTATCAACATGCAGTTTTAATAAAAGTAAATTAAATAATAAAATGCAACGAAAATTATACTATTTAAATTTATTAAATCAATTGTTTTATTGAATTTGTACAGTGCTTCTAATAGATTACATCAAAAGCAAATTCTACAACCTTTTATCTTTATATATATATATATTTCACTTTTCAAGATAGTTGAAAGATAAATTTATAATTATGTAAATCAAACATTTTGCAGTTATACAACAAATAAACAAAACCGATATCCAGAAATAAAAAAAGTAGGACTGATCTAACTACGAGTTAAGTTAATTACTAATTATAGCAAGATATTTTATAATCAACAAGCAAGAAATATAACAATTTACACATAAATATAAAAATATACATGTTCATGATCTAGAACCTTCAGGGTTATTTTATAAATAGTAAAGGCCAAGATTTTTTCTAATTATATCTCAGATTTTTCTAAAAAGTAAACCAAAATGCTCATGAATAATTAATTTTTAGGAACTTGCTTCCAGAGGTAACTTGCCCGTTGAAAAAATTTTCAATGTTAAAACGCTGGTAGGGCGCTTCCAGTTATATAATTCCATGGGCATTGATTGCTGGATGAACAACAATCAATCAACTAATCAGCTGTGCTTGCATGTCTGACAGAATGCTCTCTGGATAACTTCCAGAACGGCATTACTGCTACTACTACTACTAGCATTACTTCTATTACTACTACATAAGTGGTAGAAATATTTTTTAGACCGCAATTAATATTTTATCAATATTTTATTTCATCCTTTTGTGTATTTTTTTATATTGTTCAATAAGTTTATAAAATCGTTGTTTATACATACATAACTGAAATATATATAATTCATACTTTATATATATATTTCATTGATCAGCTAAGCAGCTTATAAAGTTTTGTAATTTCTAGTATTAAGCAGATGGTCTTTTTTCACGATCTCTCTTCACGGATAATATATGGTGGTGCTGGGAAATAAGTTCAATTTCATTTCTTCTTATGGTTAATGATGATACTGAACCTTGCCACACTGGAAGCCTGTTTTTTGGTGGATGATGTATTTTTAGAAAAGTTTTATTTACTTAGAAATATTTTTTTGAAGCCAAGCCACAATTATGAATGGTGAAAAAAAATGTTTTTGTAATTCAACGCTCAATATTACAGTTTTTTTAGTTTTGAACGCCTGTTTTTTTGGTGGCTGATATATTTTTAAAAAGGTAATTTAATTTTACATAAGTGGTAAAAATATGTTTTGAAGCCGCATTTATGATTGATGAAAAAAAGTTTTTGTGATTCGACACAAAATGTTACAGTTTTTCATGTTTTGAACAGCTTGTTTTTTTAGTGACTGATATATTTTTAAAAAGGTAATTTATTTTTACATGAGGGGTAGAAATATATTTTTGAGGCCTCAATTATGAATGGTCCGCAATTAATAATATTTTTAATCGATTTTTTATGTTCCTTTTACAGTGTATTTCTATACATTATTCGATAATTCATACAATCATTGTTCATACATACGTTACTTAAATATATAGAATTCATACTTTGTATACATTTTAGTGTAGAAAGAACTCATATAACTTACTTAAGAATTTCAGTTAAGCCACTTATATAGTCATACAATTAGAAACATATATGAACACTGAACAGGAACACTTTCCATGCATTAAGCAGGCGATCTCTTCTTTTTTCACGATCTGCGCACGCATAATATATAGGTCAGTCGTTGTGGCTGGAAGCTAAGTTAATGTTAACGCTAACGTTTGGTTTGTAAGATGGTGTTTCAACATTTTTCTAGATCTGCAATAGTCGGCGGCTTGGGTGGAGCGATCTTGTTAACGACATATAACGCATTTTATTCGAATGTAACTGTAGAAGCTAAAAGAAAACCTATCGATATTGAATTTCAAGAAATATCAAAAATTGAAAGAGTAACAGTAAAGGCTGAAGGTTTTACCTTTAGTTTTAGAGCTGTTTATTTTTTTTTTAATTTAAAATTTATTAAATCATGCAAAGTGAATGAAATTAATCATTATTGGTATATAATAAATCTTAAATAAATAACGAAATAAATCTATCGGGCGTGCGGGCCGCACGGGCGTGCGTACGAAAGAATTTAAGAATATGTTCAAAAATTTTTTTTATGCCGAACATTATTTTAAAAAGTATTTATAAAAATTTCCGTTACTTACAATTGAAAATAAATTTAAAAAAAATTTTTTTTTAGATAAATTTTTATTTGCGCGTCGTAATACTATTATTTATTACCTTTGGCAAGAGTTCATTTTCCTTTTTCCTTTAGTTGTGAGCGGCTAGGCTTTTGGAGATTCACTTGAGTTTTGTTTTGTTTGATCTAATTTAATTAAATAAAATTAAATTTGTTATTTTATCACTCTAATTTGAGAAAATGAGCTCCGAGTCATTAAAGTTGGGAGAGAGATGGATTTGTGAATGTTGAAAAAGTTGTAGATATGATAGAAAGTTTTTTTAAGAAAACTACCATCCAATGAATGAAGCATGACACTAAAGAAATAGTTAAAAATTTTAACAAAAAATGTATTCTGGAAAGCGCCAAAATTGTTCATCTTGACCCAGATATGCAATACAGTTAGAGGTTGTTTTTATATTGATAAAATATTTTCAAGCCTTAAGTTCAATTATTATGAATATTTTAAATTTTTATACAATATTAATTTTTGTATATTTGATAATGGTTATTGCATTAGGTAGGTCTGTAAGCACTATGGAAATGTTAAACCATCTGCAAATTTGAAAAAAAACTGGGACACGACCTAACCATGCATCCTTGTTGTGTGGTTGCACTGCAGCAGTTTATGTGGCATACTGCAAAAATCGGAAGGTAGTAATAAAAATTAAATTAAAATATTTAATAGCCAATCTCAAAAAAAACAATGACAAATTCATAATCGTTCGACCATACAACAGACAACTAAACTCATTCTATGAAGAAATCATCAATCTAATTCTACATGCATGCATCCAAAACCATAACGACATCCTACAAGCATACATAATCAACAAACCATTACACCGCATACTATTCAATCACTAAACACACAAACATACAGACAGACACACACCCCCATACTCGGACACTCAACAGCTTGATAAGAACTGTTGATAACCAGCAACAAACACAGGATAATAATCTCCATTCATCGAGAACCATCGAAACAAGACAAAGCAACAACAAGACAACTACCAACCATACGGCACCAATTATTTCTACATCAACTCGGAAGCAATCGTATTAAGGCTGTACTATATTTTTACTCGTTAACACATGAACAATGTACTCGTGTGCATAACTGTGTAAATATGTGTGTTCGTCTGTGTGTGTTATGTTACTATATGACATTGGATGCAATAAATTTTTTATTTTCAAAATTGTCATTCTGTAACAAAAATTCTTTATATTGTCTTAATAAACGTCCAATTTTGCGCTTTGACTTTGTCCTGTATCGTCAAATTTGTTGTACAGATTTCTCAACGTCGAATTCGTTGTGCGAATCTCACGCTTTTCACCGTCTAAACGTCGTATTCGCCCACTCGTGATTCGCACGCCTTGTAACATTTCGACGTGCGGATTTCACGATATATAATTTCGAACGTCGTATTCGCCCTTTTGTGATTCGCACGCCTTATAGCATCTCAACGTCGAATTCGACGTGCGTGCGAGTGCCTCACAATTTATAATTTCAAGCGTATTCACCCCGCCATTCGCACGCCTTATAGCATCCCAACGTCTAATTCGCTGTTCGGCCTCCAGCTTTATAGCATTAACACGTTCAATTCGCCGTGCGGATTCCTCACGTCTTATAGCATCTCAGCGGCGTGTTCGCCATGCAGACCCGCACACTTTATAGTATCTCAGCGGCGTATTCGCCGTGCGATTCCGCACTTCTTATAGCACTGACCAATACATAAAGAAATTTATGAAGTTGTTACACTACACTGTTGGGTGCATATACAACACATATTGGATTAAGACAAGAGTAAGACTATCAAATATAATCATAATGTATTTATTAATAAAAATCACAACATGTTCAGCATTAGTTTTTAGTTTAACTTTAACTTTTTGATCTTTCTAACGGTTGATCAAATATTGCATCAATTATGGTCTCCTTCCACCATGTATATACATATACCACGCAAATTGATTTAATCGCTGTCAAGCAACAACACCGAAGGCTATTCAAATATGTCAAAGTTATACTTGGCGAATCATGTGTCGCCCAACATAGACTCCTTGTGACAGACCTGGTTGTCAAACTGTCAAAACATAAGTCTAAATAAATGCCTCGGAAAATCAAAACATGGAAGCTGAAAAGCAATATTCATCGAGGAAAATTTCAACAAATTGTCGCCACGCAGTTAGACCACCAATCGCAATCCGGTACAGATTGTAGTACATAAAAAACCGTTTTGATAAACGCTGCAACTACAGTTTGTGGGAAAACTGGTACAAAACGCCAGGATGAACGGGACACGTGGTGGTGGAATGACAATGTACAAAATGCAAAAGCTAAAAAGAAAGCTGCATACAAGCAATGGCAAAAATCAAAGTCTATTGATGACCACAAAATTTTCCGTGAGAAGAACAACTATGCAAGACGTCAAGTTGCACTGGTTCGGACAGATCAGTGCAGAGAGTGGCTCAATAAAAGCAAAGGTGAATAAATGAAGTCTCTGTATCGTATAGCAAAACAAGCAAAGCGTACGAAAAAGACATAGTTGGTGCCTCATGTATCAAAAACGACAAAAATGAGATGGTTCTTGAACAAGATGAGATCAAGCTACAGTGGAAAGAATATTTAAACCGTCTGTTAAATGAAACAAATCCAATCAATGTCAACTTTGGCGCTCTAACAATCGAAGGTCCGATTCCAGACATCACAGTAGAGGAGCTTACAGAAGCTCTGAAAGCTATGAAAGATGGAAAGGCAGCAGGGCCCTCTGGACTCACAAATGACATCATTAAAGCATCTGGTACTGCAAGTATCCAAACGGTACTACAACTTTGCCATGAAATTGCACAATGCTGACTGAATAGAACTATAGCTTGACAGTCCCGCTATACAAAGGCAAAGGTGATCCATTCATCATTCATCATATTGGGATATACGTCTGTTAGAACACTCCCTAAAAATTGTGGAGAAAATCATTGAGAGAAGATTAATGTCGTGCATGACAATCGGAAATTATCAGTTTGGTTTCTTAACGGGGAAATCAACAATTGATGCAATTCACATCCTTCGACAACTGCAAGCAAAGCATCAACAACTATCACACATTTTTGTAGACCTTGAAAAAGCATTTGATCGAGTTCCCCGTGAAGCAATCAGGTGGAGTCTACGTCGACAACTCATTCCAGAATATCTTGTTCGACTTGTGATGGAAATGTATACGAATACTAAGACTCTTGTCAGCACAACGGTTGGAAACACAGATGCATTTGACATCGGCGTTGGAGTTCACCAAGACTCGATTCTCAGTCCACTGTTATTTATAACTGTGATAGAATTAATCACAGAGCCGATATGCACTGGTAACATTTGGAATTTAATATATGCTGATGATATTGTTTTAACAGCCACGTCTGAGCAGAATGCAGCACAGATGTTTGAAAATTGGAACACCAGACTGGCCGATCATGGATTCAAAGTCAACATCAACAAAACCAAAGCAATGAACACTGGTGAACACATCCAATCCACAGCTACTGGACGATGGCCCTGTTCAGTTTGTAAAGCTGGTGTAGGTAACAATTCAATCAAGTGTCAGCAGTGTAACCAGTGGTGTCACAAACGTTGTTCAAAAATAATTGGTTCTTTATCTAAAATCAAAAATCCAGTACTACTCTGCACTGTTGTTCGGTATGCAAACATTACGTATGGAAGAATTTCGTCCCAATCTCGATGATTCTTATTTATCACTTTTCCTATCATTTTATTGAGTGTTCCATGGAATCGTTCTACCAGACCATTCGTTGAGGGTTTATAGGTAGTGGTACGGATTTTATCTACGCCAAGTTGTTCACAGATATCTTTAAATAACTGAGATTCAAAATTCTTACCTTGATCAGTTAGTATCTCTTTTGGTAGTCCGTATCTACAAAATACATTTTGAATTAATTTATGAGCAACATAAGATGCATCTACGCGTTTCAAAGGAATAGCTTCTGTCCACTTCGTGAAATAATCAATGACAGTTAAGATGTATTTATGATTCTTACTTGACTCTGGGTGTGGCCCTGTTATATCGACTCCTAATCTTTCCCACGGCTCACCGACCAACATTGGCTGTAATTCACCTTGTTTAAAATGTTTTTGTCGGTTAAATTTGCTACATTGTTTACATAATTTGTGGGTTAATTCAACGTCCTTCCTCCATCCAGGCCAATAAAATCTTCTTTCAAATTGCCGTGTTAGCTTTTTGATTCCTTGGTGGGCTCCATTCATCCCACTGTGCAAATCTCTAAGTACTTCTTGCCGCATTGTGTAGGGAACAACTATCTGATCAAAATTGTTAATTCGTCTCTTCAATACACCTTTATCTGTTAAAAACAAGTTGTCATACTGTGCAAGTAATATTTTAACATCTTTTCCTTTATCAACAAATTGACTCAAATCTGGTACTACTGAATGTTTGATGACGTCTTTAATTAAGGATAGGTCTTTGTCTTTCTCTTGTTCTGCAACCCAATCAACACAGTTATCTACTTTATTTTCTGTTATAACACCACATACTGCTCTCGACAATCCATCAGCGTTTGTATGTTTACTCCCTGGCCTATGCTCAATAGCATAATCGTACTCTTCAAGAATTTCAATCCACCTTGCTTGTTGTCCTATTGGTTCCGGTGTTTTTCTCAACCACTGAAGCGCTGCATGATCTGTTCTTATTTTGAATGAACGACCGATCAGATACTTCCTGAACTTTTTCACAAATGTTATAATTGCAAGTAATTCTTTCCTGGTTACATTGTAATTCATCTCATGTTTATTAAATAACTGACTACCGTAACAAATGGGTTTTTCTACTCCATCTTGTAATTGTGAAAGTACTGCACCCATGGCTTTATCTGAAGCATCGCAATCTAAAATAAACGCATCCTCGTCATTGGGTAAAGCTTATATTTCAGAACTGATTAATTTTTCTTTCAATCTATCAAAAGCAGTTTGACATTCGTGTGTCCATTGAAACTTGTTACATTTCTTTGTCAATTCAAGTAACGGAGCTGCTATTTCTGAAAAATCTGGTACAAATCGTCTGTAGTACTGGCACAAGCCTACAAACGCTCTACTTTGTTTTAGTGTAGTTGGTACTGGCCAATCTTTAATTGCTGCAATTTTAATTGGGTTCGTTCCGATCCCTTTATCACTAACTATATAACCTAAACAGCTAACTGATTTCTGCATTAAATGACATTTCGACGGTTTGAGCTTTAAATTTGCCTGGTGCAATCTTTGAAACAACAGTTCTAATCTTTTTAAATGTTCGTTTAAATTTTTACTAAATATGATTATATCGTCTAAGTAAACTAAACAGGTCTCAAAATTTAATCCTATCATGATATTGTCCATTAATCTTTGAAATGTGGCAGGGGCATTACAAAGTCCAAATGGCATTCTGGGAAATCTGAAGGTACCGCGATGACAAACAAAAGTGGTCTTATTTCTATCTTTAGGATGAACTTCAACCTGATGATATCCTGATCTTAAATCAAATGAACTGAACCATTGGGATCCAGACAACAAATCGAGCCATGAGTCTATTCGAGGAAGTGGATACACATCTTTAATCGTTATTTCATTTAACTTTCTATAATCTACACAGAATCTGTAGGAATTATCTTTCTTTTTAACTAATACTAAATTAGTTAAACGCTCTGACAAGGTTCTATAACTTTTTGCTGTAACATCTCTTCTAACAAATTGTCAATGATTGGTAGATGTGCTCTAGGTTGTGGTCGCAAAGCTTGGCGAAATGATCTGTTTGCTCCGGTATTAATTTCATGTTGCGTTATATTAGTTCTTCCTAAATCAAACTCGCTTAATGAAAGAATATTTTTATACTTCAGCAACAACTTTCTCAAATTACTACGAATATTATCTGGAACACTGGAATGTACCTCATCAACTATTGTGTTTATAGTCTCATCATATTCTTTGGTGGGTTTGTTATTTGATTCTTGAACTTTATCATCAACTACAACAACTTCATGTAATTTGGTGATTACTTGATCCTTAGGTATTTCAACTTTTTCATTTGATATGTTACATACTCTAATACTCGTAGACGGTTTATTGACATCAATTAATGATCTCGCAGTTAGCAAATTGTTTTTGATTTTATTTATACTAGTTGACCATGCTGTATCCTGTCCTAAAGGCTTCAAATTTGATTTTTCTATAAACGTCTGAATGAACATTTCACTGCGGGGTGAATAACAGCCGTGACTTTCGAAATGCATCTTATATATCTGTTTCTTGTCTAGATTTTACGAGGTTGTAACTTTTTCCGTTTATTACTACTCCTTCCAAAATTCCAAATGCAATTGTTATCATATAACCAATTCTTCCCTAAAATTATATGATCAACGTTTGGTGACACATAGAAAGTTGTAAAAATCTTCTGATACTTAAGTTCTAATGGCAGTGTAATTGTTCCGTTTACTATTAACTCCATGTTATTAACTGCATACAATTCCTTATTACTTTTCAAAATTTTCAAATCATCAACAAATTTCTTTGGACAAAGATTCACATCTGCACCACTATCTAGTAGACATTTTAAATGTTTAGTTCTAAATACAGCTTCTACATGAACTAATGCTTCCTTATCATGGTTACACTTGGAGGGTGTTTTTACTGTTTGTACGTTTCGATTTAATCTCGTCGTATTTTTTAAAACTACCAACATTTTGCCTGAAGTTATTAGTGTTCGCTTGACTGAAGTTTCTATTATTTTGCTGGTAACTACTTTTTCTTTGGTCAATCGCACTGTTGTTTCTGATGAAATTATTATTTCCAAACTTATTGTTAAAATCTTTTCTCTGACTGTTATTTCTGTTTTCAAACTTATCTCGTTTAATCTCATCAATATTGCTGAACAAATTTTCTATTCTGTTATTCATATTTGTAATTGGATCATCTTGTTTAACAACATTGGATTTCTTGTCATCAAACTCGTCATTATCTTGAACTATCTGAACGATCTGAAAGATCTCGAATGATTTCTCTTGCCATCATCTGATAAAACTTTATATTTCTCATATAGCTGACATACTTCATCTAATGTTCTCGGTTCTTTGTCTTTTACATAGAACATGATGTCTTTATTACCAATAGCATTAATTAAATGTTTTACTGCAAACTTTTCTCTTATGTCATTACTTAACTCTGGATAGGATAGTCTTGACAGTCTGTTAACTTTCTGAGACACATCTCGAATGTTCTGATCTTTTTGTAATCTAAGCTGCGATAAACTATACTCGTGTGTTTCTGAATAGTTTGATGGTCCAAATCGTTTAAACAACAGCTCTTTAATCTCGTTATACGTGACTGTATCAATATCTGGCAATTCGTGAAATACACCTCTTGCTTTCCCATCTAGTGCGTGCAAAAGGGATAGTGCTTTTTCTTGTGATGTCCATTTATTAACTTTTGCGGTTATTTCAAATTGACAAAAATACTCAGTTATATCTTCTGAGCCATTGAATCTACTACTTTCCACTCTTTAGTTTACT